TTTAAATAACAGGACTTTATGAAAAGTTAATATTTGTATTCACAACAGCATCTGATCCGTGCTGTTATAAATAATATAATCAGCTCTGGTTATTAAACAAGCAACAATAAACCGACATTAGGGAGCTGTATATCTGTTTTGGCACATTAACATTTTTTAAAGCCGTCAAACTCACTTTTAGTTTTACTAAGAGCGTTGCACAAAGAACATTAAGTCATCAGTCAAACCAACAACCTTTCCCTTCATAATGACAACAGCTAAGTTTCAACACTAGCAGTTTAGTCATCCATTAGTCATGTATCCCATCCAGATGTCTGGTGGAGGAAAGGAAGGGGAGGAGGAGATAGCAGCAGGTGTAGATCTCTCTGAGCCCAGCTGAGCTCTAAAAGGCAGTGCTTAGCACCCACAGCTCCGTCATCTGGCCTCTCCCCTGTCTCCGCCAGCCTTTCGACAGCCCATTCCTCATCATTTACCCCTTTTTGGCAAAGCCCAGAGCCCTTCTAATGGGCCGCTCTGAATGCTTCCAGATGTTTGTTTATTTGTTGTGCAGCAACTATAAAACAGTTTACTCTTAGTTTGGATCTGTTCCCGTTGCTCCATTTTTGGGGGGGCAGGGGGCGCTCAGGGAGTGAGGGGGAGTGTAGCCGGAGTTGTGGTGCAGATCACCCCAACATGTAATGAAAGTGAGCCGCCAAACAAATGTGAGGCACCCCATGGGTGTCATCAGAAAGCTTTTTTTTTTGCTTTGAAGGCTGCTTTTCTCCTGGGATTTTAATAACAGTTGTGCACCATTTAAGATACATACATACAAAGTAGCTGGAAGCAGGCCCAGAACAGCAAGATTAAAAGGGCCCTGGGCTCATACTGTAAAGGCAGATTTCAGGCATTTTTCCTTGTCTGTTTACTCTGCTTGTACAAAGATATCCCTTTCATTTATGGCTGTCACTGCTGAGGGATGGCCTACTCAAATTTAATCTGATGCCTGTGAAAAAACGGTTACTAGTGCCTGGCATATTTATTGAAATATACAGAGCAAATGAAAGGTATTTCATTAAAATCTCTGCCGTGTACATGGATGTATCAATCAAGTCTGAAGCATCTTTTCTTGAACCACAGTTATAATTAGATCTATGGAATAAACTTGTGAATTGCACTTCAAAATGTGTCACCCTAAGAAAATGACAAGCCAGTAATAAATAACCCAGCACATGGTTTTGCATGTTGAGCTGATAAATAATCATGGTAAGGCACAAGAACACACTATGTGTTTGGCTGTGGCCTAATAGTATGGTAGTCTTCATGAAGACACACAGTACTTTAGGCTGGGACTCCATTTTGGACTGTTAGATTTAGAGTTGAGTTGACAGTTGGACCAGTACTGAGAGTTAGAGCCAAGGTGACAGTAGTGGAGGATCCTCAGGCCCCTCTGCCAGACTATATACTCCACTCCACTCTGTGTCACGCTTTCACCAAGACACACTGGAGCCCCCACCATCCTCCTTCACTTTGTCTGACTCTCTCTCATTTTTACGTCTTCTTTTTACTGTTTAACGCCGGTCTTTTCCTCTCCCCTTCATCTTCCCCTCTTGTTCTGTCTATCTCTTGTCAGATCTAGTCTATGAAATCTTGATTTAGATTTTCGCTACCGCAACTCGTTCCCTTTCCTCCCTCCTCTCCCTCCCTGCCTTGTTTTGCTCCGTCTCCTCCAGGTTGACTCCCCCACCAACAAAGACAGGAGCTTATCCTGGAGTTCTGTCCTTGGTTTCCACCCCTCTCTCCCTGGGCAGTGACCTGCCAGCGCTGCCCTCCTCTGGGAGCTCCTAGATGCTGTAATTACCTCTGGCACCCAGGCTCTGGGGCTTCCACACAGGTGACATGGTGGAGGGGGGTGGAGGTGCGGAGGGTTGAAAAGAGGAAAGGGAGGTTCTCTCTGAGCAGCCGACAGGGCGATGTCAGAAGTGCTGCTGATCCGCCTGCTACTGCAGGAGTCAAGATAAAACTATACAGCCTCCCTTGTACCCCCATTAAAAAGGCCACTTCATTAACCCTTCAAAAAAAACTACTGTCAGGATCACATACTGTATGTTTACTTAGAAATACTGCACCAAATTCATGGTTTTATTCTGTGAAATGTAGTAATTCAATATATTTTCAATACAGCAGAGTGCCCTTTATCTCATATACTCAGTGTGGTTTCTCAGCATTATTATAGCACAAAACAAAAGCAGCTCTTTATACAACAGCACAAACAGGAGACACATATCACCACCTCACTTTTTCAACAGATTTTGAGCAAACCGTGTAGCAAATCGTTTAATTTACCACACTGAAGCAAGAGTTCTGCATTGAACTACATAAAACGGCTCAGCATATTGTTTCACCCCTTTTGTTTACATCCTGAATTTAACTCAGTTGTTTGGAATTACTGTCTGAAAAATGTTGTTTGTTGCAGCGATGCTTTGCCACAGCTTTGTTCTCTTTGAATGAGGAGTTACTGTGACCGTCTCCAAAGCACAGAACAACACAAGAAAACTCAAGTATGTTTAAGAAGTGTAAATAAAAGGAGGAAAAAAAAACATAACAAAGAGCTGGGGAAGGGGCTGGAGGCAGGGACATGAAGAGGAGGTGAAGGGCGAAGATGAGGGCTGTGTTATCTAAGACTGCAGCGCTGCATCATAAAAATAACAAATGGAGACTGTCACTGCTGCTCAGATCTTAGACTGAGGGGAAAATATTTCATGTCAGATCCCCTCACCTTTAAATGGACTGTTCTTAGCCAGGTCTGATTTTGACAAAGCATGGGGCTCTTCATGTCCTTACATCCAGTGAGAGCTGCCACTGTCCACGCTTTTATGACATAGATCTGTCCTTGGCACCATAAACTGGGGGCAGAGTAGGGATGGTCACTGTTGACCTATTGTGCTACCACACTGGTGGTCAACACTGCAGAAGCGTTTTGGATTGTAAAGACAGTGATGAATGTCTCAGGAATAATAAATGATCCGAGAAAAGTGGGGCTCATTGTGAAAAGCCTGACTCTGGATAAAATGTTGGTAGATACCTTCAGTACGTGTACCAAAGCATTTTGAGCCCAATCCATTCGGGCTGCCACAACTCACTTTAACTAGGGCCTGATTAACTGTAAACTGCACATTCAGGACGTTAAATGCAGAGTCGAGATGTCAAGCAATTCCTGCTGGACTGAACCTACTTAACCTCCTGAGACCCTGTGTCCCTGTATGAGGACATCACATTTTGGGGTTACTTAACCTTATACTTCATTCTACTTAACTTAGATCTGTTATCCTTGTTTGTGGACACTTTTTTGTGCCATCTAGTGGTAGTGACAACACAATTACACTAAAAATGCAAAAACAAGATGGCAGCCATCTCTGCCAAGTCAGTCTGCAGCCGATCCCGACACGAAAGTGGACAAGGTAAAACCTGACCACATTTTATGGTTGAAACTTGTTTATTTATGGTTAATAATGTTTGTAGTTTGGTATGGCAACACATTTGGCCAATTTTGGCAACGGTGACAAACTAACACACTGTTAATTAGAAAGTTTTCATTTGAGGACATTGAGGCTTTATTATGGTTTAGTTTAAGGGCATTGGGACTTACTTATTGTTGACAATGTTGAGTTTTTTTATACTTCTCGGGTCCTACTGGTCCCAAATAGCTAGGAGAAATTAAAAATGCATATTTTCGTCCCGACGGCGCGTCATTCATCCCAAACATGTTTTATATTTTGCCATTACCTAAATTCCTGATTTTTAGCCTTCACCAAATTGATGTGACGCAACTGAAAAACTTCGGCCACTGGCATTGGTGAATGTCATCTTATTCCCAAACAGGCCGATGACAGTCAACGAGGCGGATATTATCCGATAGAGATGTTCAGTGGATAAATTGGTGCATCGACAGCGCTTTTGTTTTCTCCGGTAGGTATCAGTACCTACCTCCAGTTACCAACTGTATTAATGTAAGATCTTTGCAGTAACTATCCCCAGTAGCTAAAATGGCGAACAGTGGAGCAACCTAAGTAACTCTGGGACTCTACCGCACAATAGAAAATTAGCCTTTGCAACAGTGACACCACTAATAATACCACTTGGGAACATCATGGAGGGAAAAGTTGAAAAGCTGTCCGTTTCCACTTTAATATTTTTGCAAGAACATATGTTAAAATAACGTACCTTTCAGGAACATATAAACGGTTTCATGCCTTTAATCTTTTGATTATGGTTTCAATGCTACTTTTACAGTGTGGTGATGATGGTTGGAAATTATCTTCATCATATTAATTCTTGAGATATCCAGTTAAAGGAATTTAGGTAGTTCAAGGACACTAATTGCTATGTATGGACTGATACAAGTCTGAGGATCAAAGTTTGAGTAAAAACGTTTTTTTGTATAATCAGATTTATATGTAAAGTATAATAAAAATGGACTGCCACAGCCATTTACTACGAACATAGGAGGTGACCTGCACAATTAATTTAGAACATTGTGTCTTTTTAATTAAAGCAATGCATTCTTCCTAGACTGCAGCGTTTGATGTTAAGGAGTTGCTACAGAATTACATCAACTGACTACACCAGGTCAATATGAGGCCCAGTCAATGTCTAGTATCAACAGATCAAGGATGCTTCATCTCGTATATGTGCTGTGTGCTCCCACGCATACATTCAGATCAGAGTTAACCTAGATTACTCAGATTTATTCCCACTATCAAAACATCACACAGATGAGATGAGATCAATAAGAATAGATAACATAACTTCAACTCAGTCTCAAGGTCAATAGATTCCCACTCTATGCAGCCGATAAGGTTATGACTTATATTTACATAACCCGTGGGCCTGGGTTTTGATTGAATGTATGATAACATATTGTGCTTCTTCCTGCTTACTTTGAAAAATATCTATACAGATGGAAGTACAAAGCACCTAACTGAAAAGGTTATGAAGTCCAAAGGTCTTTTGTTTTTTCCTACCTTTGTGGTTCTTGGCATCTCTGGATCCTCGAGGCAAAGGAGTGTAGGGCAGTGGGTGACTCTCAGACTTAGCTTCATTAGACAGCTAGGAAAGGGAGAAATACAAATAGGATGAATATTTAAAAGAAAAAAAGGGGAAAGGATCTCTGTAGCTGAATATGACTGTCATAAATCTTTTGGGACTGGTACAGGAAATGTTGGAAACACTGCTCCTGTTTTATGACATAATGTGACAGGCCATGTTTTATTACTTCTCCAGTGCTGTGGAGCTTCACTCCTGTCTTTGATGGTCTGATCTACGACCTGGTTAGGGAGAAGAGGTCTTAACCTTCACTCAGCCATGACCTCCTGCAGTGGTCAACTAAAGGGTAGACGTCACTCACTCTGAACAGCCAAATGTAGCGTGGTTATGTGAGGGGTGGTCAGACAAATGACACGAAATGACCTCCGAGCACTGGTTTTAAGAGAGGAAATCTTTAACTAGCTGCCTTATTTAATGTCACATAATTGAAATGTGAGGTAAATATGTGCATAGATTCCTGCCTGCGAGACTAGAATGAGCTATCGATTGTGAGCAGAGGTTCAGACTAAACAAGTGTGACAAATGCTGCTTTAAGACAAAGAGAAAACAGAGGCCTGAATCTCAGAGCGTGTTCCCAAACAGGTCAAGAGTTTCTTGTGTTGTTGTTGTTCTTTCGTGCACTTTCAAGGTCCAAAACATCCTCTTCCTTCCCATAGCCTTTTAGCTAGTGGAGCAGGCAGTTTATCATGACACAGCGATATCCGATGCCTTTGCAGAAATACTTTCCTTTCCTGCAGGAAGGAATTCACTGGGTCTTTAATCATAGCAAGAGACTCAACTGACAAATACATATTAGAGATGGTTTGGAGCTGCATTTTTCCCACTTTTATTGTTGTTCCTCTACATGCCCATGCATAACCTTGAGAAATGGAATGGTCTGCACTGTTAAATGGAACCATATTCTTCATGGGCAAAGAGAGCACTGTGAATTGAAAACGATCACATAATGTGCTTTCAGATAGCATCTCTGAAAGGCATTAAGGTCTGGCCGGCATGTGTGTCACATTACACCAAAGAGAAAAAAATGGCAAAATAGGCCTATTTTGAGACCTCACTACATATATGCTGGTGGACCGTGCTTTTGAAAGAAACAGCTTGGAATAGAAATATTGTTTTGACAGCAGACCTGCTGCCTCTAGAGTGGCTGAAACCTGTTTAGAAATATCACAGATCACTCCCCGCTTGTACGCTGTACGCGTATGGAATGTGTAATACAAGAAGCAAAACAACTTCAAATAAGAACATACTGTGCTTGGTAAAAACCGACACCTCCCATTGGAGGATAAATAATCAGTTGTTTATAGCTGCAGCACCAGCAAGACGGATATCAGAATGGGCCAGAGAGATTCTGAACCACAACTACCACCACACATCCTGTCGACAAAACAGTCTCTTTATTGTCCAATTTTTTTTCATTTTGCCAAACTTGCTCTATCATTTCCAGTCACACTGACCATACAAGGCGGCACAGTGGTGCAGTGGTTACCATTGTTGCTTCACAGCAAGAGGGTTCTTGGTTACTGGTGTGTAAGCTTGGGTTATCTCTGGCTCCGGCTTCCTCCCAGGTTAATTGGTGCCCATAGGTGTGAATGTGAGCGTGAATGGTTGTCTGTCTCTATGTGTCAGCCCTGTGATAGTCTGGTTACCTGTCCAGTGTGTACCCTGCCTCTCGCCCAATGTCAGCTGGGATAGGCTCCACCCCCCCTGCAACCCCCAACAGGAACAGTAGTTTCAGAAAATGAATTAATGTCCATAAAACACATTTTTATACTTTGTTAGAAAGATGCTATTGTAAGATTTCCCGTGATATTAGTATTGTTTTTGTACTCCAAATATTAGGTAAATTCGTCATGTTATTAACGACTATAACCGAGCAATGATTTTGAGAAAAAAGGCTTCAAAGTTTGCAGTACGGTGGCCGCAAGATACATGACAGAGCCCATTGATCCTCCAAAGTGGGAGCGCATGCTGTACTCTGGGTGCTGTCCCAGATTGCATAATACACAAAAAAGCTTGGGGACACTTGTATGTTGTGTCCAACATGGTGACAAAAACAAACATACCCAACAACACTTTGCAGGAAGACGTGAAAATACTGTTTGCGTTGGAAGAACTGCGGTCTGTTTGACGAATTAGTTAGCATACACACTTTACAATGGACCTCATGAAAATCCTTTTGAGTCTTTGGATCGGTAGACTGTTAACGTCTAAAGAAACATAAATATTAAATCAAGGAATGGACATTTATGACTGCATCAAAGGTGGGAGTCACCAATTTTTTGTCTCTCTTGTTTACCGTGCCAAGAAAATGGAAAAAACTTTTCTTTGGAGCTCATGGTGGAGAATCTAACTGAGCTGATTATGTGTAGCAGGTCCATATAGACAAAAGTTTAAACATTTAACATTATATTTTGATGCGCGATGCTAAGCTGCTTAGCATTAGCACACTGTGTTTTAAGAGGTTTTAATATTCTGAAAGCCAAGACTTTATTTATTTGAATTTAGATGAAAACCTGCCTAAATCTTTTATTCATAATTTCAAGGACTCATAGAGGGAGGCAGGGAGAGAGGCGCTTCGTAGGACCAGGGTGCGGCTGAAATGTGTTTTGCTGCTAGCTTGTCATCATGCCTTTACAAGCTTCAAAATTGAATTTATCGTCTCAAGTTGCCATTAAGAGTTTTATATTCTGAAAGCCAGGACTCTGCTTATTTAAAATCAAACAAAACTCTAACATAACCCAAAATCAATTTGTTGACATAAATCCACATTTATCTAGAAATGAGCTGTTGTGACAACCAACTGATTTTGACAGAGCACACCACATTTGGTTTTGGGGGTATAATTGATATTGGAAGTCTAGTATGAACACAGTCTGTCTATGACAATTATTATGAGCTAACAGAGCAAATCAGGCATTAAGACAAGAATTGTGGGCCTCCTCTATTTGATCTACCTCCATGCTCTTCTTAGCCACCGTGGAGTTGCGCCCCTGCTTGCCTCATTTCCTGGCCTGCTTGAAAGATCACAAGCTTGGGGCCTCTTCTGGCCTGCCTGGCCCCCAAAAAGCCCCTCCTAATCCCGCTGCTTGCTCACAATTAATCTTCCTAGTTGCCACATTATTAACAGCACCACCCACAGACTATGTTAGGTGGGCGTTGGAGGAGAAGAAGGAGAGGGAGGATTGCTGAGGTTAGCTGGATAAAGCCTTCGGCTGGTTTTGGTCCTATGGGACGTCAGCCACCTCGCTTTCAGTATCACCACCCACCCGGTCCCCCCGTGCTATGCATGACACCACCGCTTCACCTCCTCAGCATCATGCCTGCTGATCAAACACCCAACCCATTCAACATCTGTGGTTGTCACTTCCCGTCCTATCCAGCACAAGCGTTTTACCCCACCCACAGAACATCAATCAGCCAGCTTTCCCATGTCCTGATCCTCCCTTTTCTCCTCTCAGACGCTCCTCTGTACCCCTCCACATCTGCACTCTTTCACTTTAGTCAATGGCCTGTCCAGAGGAGAAGAAAGAAGCAATGCTTATGAGGAGAAAGCATGTGGAATAAATGAGGGAGAATTGTCTCTTTTGTTCTTACTTTAAGGAGCTCTGAAGGATTGATGACTGAGATTACTTTAATATATATATATTATACATTTCAATACAAACAGGCTATATAGACAGTGTTTGCAGACCTGCGTGATGTCGTTAAAACTAAGATGTTTCAATAAACAAAGAATGCTACACGACCGTGTAATAAAATTAATAAAAATCCAAAGATTGACATTCTTATGATTGACATTTAGCTTTCTTTTAACTACTAGATAATTATGAGATAATGCATTGTTGCGGGTGCTGAACAGAAATATGACATTGTGTGATACAGAAATAAAAGCTAGCGTTTGTCTCACACATCATATCCCTTTCATGTTTTCTAAACAAGCGCTTCATCTATGCTCCTACTCTCCAGAATCCCCTTTTTTCTGTATCCTTTCTTTCTCCCTGTCTCCCTCTCCTTGTTTCCTCCAGCTGTACCTACACTGAACAGAGGGAGGTGCTGCTGTGTCGTGTATTTAAGATGCTCCTGGACCCCCTTTTCCTTCCTCTCCCTCTCCCTCTCTCAGTCTCTCTGCTGTCCAGATTAGTCTGCTCATCAAGCTGAGCATTGTTTTAATTTGCTGGGCCCGGGGCATATGCTGAGTGTTCACATCATTATTGTCTCTGTGCAATGTGAGTTATCACCACAGCTTATGATAATGCGGCACAAATTTACAGGCTGGGGAGCACCATGGATTCTGTGATAATAAAGGGTGGACAGAGGGGAGTGGAAATAGGGAGAGAGAAATGAAGAAAGTGTGTGTGTATGTGTGTGTGTGTGTGTGTGTGTGTGTGTGTGAGGGAGAGAAAAGGGTGGTGGCAAAGAGGGGAAGCTCTGTTGGATGTCATTATGAAAGATGATTCCCGTACTGGATAATACATCACACCAATGCTGTCTGTCTTCTCCCTTTTTCTGTGTTGTTATGCGAATAAATGCTGATAAACCCAGAGGCAATAGTGATTATTACTTCCAACATATCACCACGAGAGAGGGGCACAGGAAGTGAGGGAGACAGGGGAGGGATGGAAAGACAAGGAGAGCTAAAAAAATAAATAAATGAAAACACAAAGAGAGCCACAGGGAGCACAAAACCACCTCCACAGTGGGGTTCCTGAAAATATGAGATACCGAAAAGTGAGTTGGGGAAGGTTGACGCACATCGAGGTGTTTTTCAGATGCAAAAAAGTTTACAAAGTTTTGCAAGCTTGGGCTGTCGATTTCAAATCTCGATGGGTGTTATATTACCGAACATTACGCTGACATCAACTGATCTAGAAAGATATCGCTAGAATGTGATTATGATGTCGGCTGCCACGGAGTTATGTACAAAAGTACACGAGGTAAATATTCTGTTACACACGCTGCTTCCCTCTGGCTCGGGGGTCTCATCCTGAACTGGCTCATCCCTG